CTAATAAACCTTGCTGATTGAACCTGCACAGTCTCCAGGAGTTCCTTGGGCTAGGCCTGACACTTGGATAACTTCCCTATATTGGATTTACAAAACAGACCTGTTAAAGTTTTGAAGAATTTTGTGAGAAGGGACAAAGAAAAAATGAAAAGAAATTCTAGGACATTATTTGAAGGAACTAAAGATGGTTAAAAGTAAAAGGAAGGAATATAATGTTGGTTTATTTGATAAAGGTTAAAATAGTTATGTTGTTAACTCTGGTAACCCTCAATAGACTTTCAGGGTTACCTTCAGACCAGGACTGAATGACAAGACTTTAAGGATTTGTTTATAGATAAGAGATGAGATACGGGAAGAAGAGATCATTTGTTGTTATTTTAAGAGAAGGTGATAAGTTATTACAATTGTTTATACCTGTTGTGATGAAGGGGGAAGTCATTTCTTTATATATTTTTTCTTTTTTCTTTACTATATTCTTTTTTTTTTCTTTTTTTTCTATTTTTCTTTCTATTTTTTCTTCTTTTCTGCATTTTTTCTTTTTTCTTTTTCTTTTTTTAAGTTTGTATTAGTTTTTATCTTTTTAATTGTAATATTTAATAAAATTATTATTAAAACAAGATTTGCCAGATCTCTGATCTATTCTTTGTTTGTAAAATGGAAAATCTCAAGCTTTGTAAGAACATAGTTACTAATTGGACAACTGCAGAGAGATCAAATCCCCTCTGCCCACATATAGAATATCCTCTATTAGATACCTAAGGCAGTGCTTTCCTTCCTATGATGTTCTGTCAACACACCCATACGCAGGCATGCACATAAGTGTCCCAGCTTTTGTTGTGGTCTGCACAGCATTACTGCACAATGACACATAATCATATAGAGAGCAAGAAAGAAAGTTGACTGCAGGGTCATCCTGTTTTTCTAGGTGCAGATGATACAAACCCTATGACTAAAATCATAAATTTTAGTGGTAAATTAGGATAACAAGCCAGCCACTGAAATCATCACTATATGCAGGTCAATATGAGCCCCTAAAAACAACTCAAGAAATGTAGGTTTTGTAACCCAAGATTAGAAGCGCAGGAGTAAACCCAGCTGAGAGAAGAAAAGCAGAAATTACTCTTAGCATTTGGAGGGAAAAGAGTTGGGCAGGACCGTTTGTCTCTTTGGTAGGCTGTCTGGGTTATGCTGATTATATAAGTTAGTGCATGCATGCACTAAACTTCAACATCAGCCTGACATATTGACCCTATCACAACAGATTATTTCTCAGCTTAAGACAAGTAGCCAAGTATAATAGCTGAGAATAACAATCTCAAAAATTTTAAAGAGTTTTTACTGCTCTCAAATACTCCATGTTAATGCAGTGGCTTCTGTGTGCATTATGACTGAGGTTAAAGATTATGAGTTCGTTCCAGTGGAGACTGAATGGAACTCTGGTTTATACACTGGGCGCCTTTCCCACCACCCTATAAGCCACTGCTAAATGGCAATTAAAATTCAATGGAATGGTACAAAGCGGGTGTGGAAAGCTGCAGAAGAATGGGGAAACTGGAAGAATTAGATAAGGTACTTTTTACTAACCAACCAGTAGCCTCTCCAAACCTTTGAGTGTGGCCCCTAGAACCTATCCAAAAGTTGGTTCTAGGTTTTAATTTTAATGTGACAGGAATTAATCACATTCTATATTTAAATTAAATCACAACAACATTTAGCTTTTATCTTGGCCCTGTCCACATTTCCCACACATTCTCTGGTGTGCCATTGAAAGGTATAGCTGTCAGCTCCCCCAAACATATATGTTCCATGCATTATACAAACCAAAAATGTATTTTATTCTCGTAAGACATCTTTGGTTATCAGGTTATTTGGAAGTTAATTTGGCTATATAAATTGGTTTAATAATTAAATAAGTTAGGATTATGGTAAATAGATGAATATGTAGTCATAAAATTTAAATACTGCAACTAAAAAATGCAGTTTAAAAAAAAAAAAAACTTTAAAAATACAAGTCCCTAGATCTCTGCATATTCCAAAGAACCAGTTGTGCCTCAGTGTTTAGTTGGAGCTGATTTGTGTGTGTCCCTAATTATTTCTTGGCTGTTGCCTAGGGCTGTGTGTCTTGTCTGCTCTAGCCACCTCTATCTGGAAAACCCAGGTAGAAAGCAAGTGGGGCGGGGTCTTACAGGATCCACATGCCTCAACAGGCTATGAGTGTGTGTGAGTAAGTGACCATAAGCCAAACCTGGGAGCGCCTGTAACACCAACACACTCATCATCAGACTCTGATGAGGAACTCTCTTCTGAACTAGAGTCATCACTTGATGTAGTTTCATATCTAAGAGATAAAATTGCATTTTATTAATGTACCATTAAATAGTTATTCAGAGTTAAAGCAACCAGTTTGCTATACCCCAGCTTTCTCCAGTTTAGTGCCTTACAGATATATTAGCCTTGGGAAGCGTCAGCGCTTTGAGGTTGTCCAGATCAAGAAACAGATTCCACAAAAAGACTAGAAGTAGGCTTTACTGATATACTGTAGGTTATATTAACAGAACCTTGCAAGCGTGACTGTTTTTTTCCTCCCCTCTCTTTTCTACCTCAGTGAGTCAGGGAGGAGCCAACCTGGGTATCTTCCTAAAACCACCTCCTTCCCCAGGGCTCAAGGAATGCTTCTGCCCTTTTTGCTTTTATAACAGCTTCTAAATATTTTTCTCCCATGGCTCTCTACAGGAAGACTGCACTATGTAGGTTTCCACCACCAGTTTGCTCACAGAATAGTTTTATGTTGGAGAAGTACCTGGTAATCTATAGCATCTTTCCATAGTGTTTTAAAAGTTACATTGCAAAGCTCATTCCTGAACAGACAAAGTTCATTTGATACCTCACAAAATTTGGTCAAGCCGATTGATACAGTAGTAATGGAAGTGCAATAATTCATCAAATGAGCAATGAGAAACCAGATTTGTGTAAATTATTAAGTAATCAGGCAAAATTTCTTTCATGGGTGTGCAAAAACTCTCAATCAATTTGATTTTTAAAATTACACCTTCTCTAGAGGAAGCATGTTGAAGTGGGGGAAAAACAGAAGTATAGTCTCATTTTAAGGAACTCTCAAAAACCTCAACTGAAAAAAAAAAGCTATGATTAAAACATTCCAGTCCCAAAATATTGTTGCTGGAGGATCAGGAAAATTAGAATGTACACGCAACCACTATGTTCAGATAAAGATATCAGGGACTCCCTCAACATCTCTTATGGGGGGGAAATGGCCTGGGAAGATACTGTTATAGTATAAGATCTGGCTTTCACTGAAATTATGTGCTTTTGATCAGATAAAAGTTTTTATATTTTATGATATTTTATTTTTATAATCAAATGTCAGTTCATGACTATAATTTTACTTCTGTAGTCTTGGAAAAGAGAACAAAATGTAATTTCAGAACTGTAAGATCTTACCCTCCATTTATACCAACAAACTGCAAATTCTTCTTTGTATTCTCATCTTTTTTCCCATCTTTTTTCTTCATGATAGACTTCAACATGCCATCATTTGCACATACTATCAAAAAGAGTATAACAATTATGTTAGTAAAGATTTGCATCAACATTGTTAACACCTTGAAGTCAAACTGTTCTGACTGATGATAAATCTAAAATGCACAATATGCTTAGGGACAGATGGCTCAGATTTCCCACATCCCACATTGGGGCCATATGGTCAAACCCATACCAATTGTATCTCCACATTAGAGCATTCATATATATATTATTAATGCAAGGGATATAAATCTGCATATGATGACATCACTGCCAAGCTTTGGAAGTTTGGATGGTGCTAGCCTCCTCCCCACCCCACATGTTCACTTATTATCTTTATTCTGGCCTTTAGACTGTAGCAGTTTATTGGGGGGGGGGTGCTTTCAAGTCAGTGTTGATTCCTGGTGACTGCCTGGACTAGTCCCTGCAGTTTTCTTGACAAGATTTCAGAAGTGGTTTGCCATTGCCTCCTTCCTAGAGCTGAGAGTGAGTGACTGGCCCAAGGTCACCCAGAGGACTGTGTGCCTAAGGCAGGACTAGAACTCACAGTCTCCTGATTTCTAGCCTGGTACCTTAATTATTACACCAAACTGGCTCTCTAGTCTTTAGTAGTAAACTAAACTAAGTTTTTCATTGGTGTATAGGTCATTTGAAGCCACCTATAGTGTTTTTAAAAACTGAGCACAGAGATTGAACGTTTCCAAGATTATTTAAAAAATTCCTGAGTATAAATTACATATCCAACTTTCTGACCAAAACCAGTCTATTTTTGGGGGGGTAAAGGAACTCCTGAACCATATCATAAAAATGCAGTTAAATGCCAACTAAAATCTCTGTTCTAATTTGTGCACAGGACCATATATAGGATGAGCATACAGATATAATAAATCAAAAACAATGGTGCAAGAACCTACAGATGTACATAAAATATGTTTTCATTACAAAATGCATACTAATGCACAAGTTCCCCTCCCCACCTCATAAGTTACTGAGATGCATTAGACAAGATACTGTCCCACGTATGTACCTTTTTTTCAAAATTATGACAAATTATAGTCAGCATATTTTGGTTTGGAAGCAGAGATCAAATATATTAAAACCATGCAAGTATAATCATAGATCTTCAAAGGCCAATTATAATTTTTCTACATGAGCTACCTAACTTTATATAACATTTCACTTGAGAACTACACTAGAAAATGACCAACCCTATTTAAAAAAATTAACTAAGAGCAAATGTGTCTACAGTATACACAGAATTACCATAAAGCCCAGAGGCAAGCTGATCATCTGTAAGATTAATTGAAGATATTGTGCTATCCTGGGAAGCCAAAACTTTTTGGTCCTGTCTCATTCCGACTATTGCAGTTTTCTCCTCATTTATGGTCCCAATCTCCTGTCCCAGCTTCAACTTTAAAGAGCCTGAAATTAGATTGGAATTACTGTGTGGCAGAACAGGCATGAGTTAAATAACCATATTTCCCCAAATAAAAATGCTTTTGTTTAGTATTTCTTCTCTTTACAAATTCAAACATTTCAATATTTCAGACAATGAATAGTATTCACTAAAATGATTTGTATTTGATAATCCTCTTGGAAGTCACAGTCATCTTGAGTTAGTAAAAATAACCTTCCTGTTTTTGTTTTTTTCCTAGTGAGGGACAAAATTAATATATTCTATACATATAAAGACATAATTAACAATCTAAATGCATTAATAAATAGCATCACATATTTTTTTCAGCCACTACAGAGAAGCCAGGACATATGAACTCAAAACAATTTCAGATGGTAACATTTGAAACTTTATTAATTTATTTTTAAAACTATAATCTTTTTTTTTCCAAAACAGGAATTCAATAAAAAATGTGAAGATTTATTACATGGTGCTGTTGTTTCACAGAACAGATTGTTTACCTGTATGGTTATCATCAAGAACTATGAGAGCCAGAGTGGGTGAAAATAAATAATATGATTTTAAAAACACTTCAGTCAATCTTCTGTCATAAGCATAACATTCAACATTAAAGGGACACAATATCCTTTTATCATATCAATTATAATTATTTCTAGTTTCTTCCTGTAGATATATCTGTGGCATGCCATAAAAGGCTACATTGGAAAGTAAATAAAGGGATTATAGCAAATAATTAATATAGTGAAATGGAGCAGAATGCCAATTCCTAGTTTTAGAACACTTCTTGGAAGACACTAAAGGCAGCTGGGAGAAGCTGAATTTATTTTGCGCACTTTCTCCCCATCAATAAGTGGAAGAGCATTCATCAATTTTGTTTTGCTTTTTTGCCTAGTTCAGTGCCCTAAACAATTGCAGATGGATAATAAGAAGTTTCCACTGCAGCTACTTCCTTACCAGGAAAAAGGAAAACATTTTGAGTATTATAGGAATGCAACTGCAAAACAGTCCCAGATTGCACAAGGACATGGATGCTTGTTTGACACATGAAACTACTTTTAATGTATGCTTCAATAGAATGGCCAATTGTTCATTTTATAGCCTTTAATTTAAGTATGAGGTCTGGGCAAAAAAAGAAGGACATCCAACTAGATACAAAGTTTTTAGTTTTAAGGAATTGTTTTGGTACATTTGACCAAAGCAAAGAAAGCTAACATTTTTTCTTGTTCAGATTAAAAAAAAAAAAAGCCCCTTAAATCCTATTTTTTAAAAACTGCTTTGTAAAATCTTTACTAAACTACTGAATACTAAATAAGCAGTATTGCTGCTTATCATCATCAAATTAAGTAAGAAACAGGAGAAACAAAAACAACAGAAGTCAAGAACTGAACAAATCGGTAAAGTGTTATTTTGGCTTAAAATAGCACATTGTTTACATATTACTCTTATAGTAAAAGTGATGGCATTATATATAAGAATAAATTTTGCCTTAATATTTTTGGAAAGCATAAGAAATAAGAGAAATGCCCCCAACAGCAGCTGATCCATGTTTTCAGCATTATGGAGATAAAATCTCAATAATTGCCATGGTTGACAAAAATCATAGCATGCTGTCACATATTTATTATTCTGATTTTTTAAAGTGGATCTCTTCTCCTTGGAAAACTTTTCCTTGCATATCAGTATTTTTGGGGAACTTCATGTATAAAATTATATGCAAGATATTTATCATAATCTTCATGTAATATAAACAATTTATTATATATCTTTCTCAAATTAGGGCGGAAGCCACATAAATATATAGACTGAATTAAATAACAGTGATTAAAGTGAACTGCTTGTAAAAGAAGACATTATTTTCATAAAAATTGATACTCCATGAAAACATACAGACACAAGCCATTCTGTCTCATGCATAGCCCACTCTCTTTCATACAAAAGCACAAGACATTCACCCAGATTTTCCTCTCTCCTACCAGCAGAAACAGCATCAGAGTAGATTGTTGGATGAAGACAGAATAAGGGGAAAGAGCTAAAATACTGGGAGAAGAAGGTGAAAAAGGAGAACAATATTAAACAGAAATGAGGTGAAATAAAAAAGTAATTGGATAGGGAAGAAAACAAAACTTGTAGAATATGATTGTCTGCAATAAGCCAGAGAGGGGGAAAACCACTGCCATTTTTGGGGGGCTGAGAGCAAGGATTTTAGAAAAATGCATGTGAAGGCTAGGAATAGAGGAGGCTCACACACCACAGCAATTTTTCTAGAATCCTTACTCTCAGTTAGGCAGAAATGACTGTTCTTTAGATAGTACCTGACTGTATTCAAATGTTCTCCCCAGTTGAAAGCAATTATTTTAGGGAAAAAACTCTCATTTCCCTTTTAGTTAAATATGGTACTGCAGCTCATGTAACCAAAATTGGTCCAAATATATTGTTAAAGGGTTCTTGTAAAGGAGGATAAGGCAATTATTAGTTGTAGTCTGTGTTCAGATGAATCATGCAAAAACCTAGGCAACTTTAATGCTGTGTAAGATTTTGTACAGTCCTATTATACTAATAATGGATTACTGCAACACGCTCTACATGGGGCTGCCCTTGAAGAGCATTTGGAAGCTTCAGCTGGTACAGAATGCAGCTGTACAGGTAGTAAATGGTGTCAGGTACTCAACACATGTAACATCACTACTTCGTGAGTAGCATTGGTTGCCAATGTGATTCTGGGTACAATTCAAGGTGGTGGTTGTCACCTTTAAAGCCCTTCATGGCTTGGGACCAAGGCTACCTGAGGGGCCTTCTCTCAGTTGTTTCCTGATTATGTTAAAATCTATGGATTATAATTTTTCTTGGTTACTGTATATATTTACTTTTTTGTATTGTGTTTGTAATTGGTTTTAATTGATTTTATGACTGTTCACCGCCCAGAATCACTTGTTTGAGATGGGCGGCTATATAAATTGAAATAAATAAATAAATAGGACACAATTATAGATAATGACAAAGCCTGCATCCCTTATCTCTTATACCAATATTAACAGTATTTAGCATAACAGGTTATACCTGTATCTACAGCAATACTTCGAAAACAGATCCATATTTTTTATAATCAAGCAGTATTTAAAAGAAATTGATTTCATTATGGGAACATGGAAAGCAAAAAGGCAAGGGAAACAAATATTACAGGTTCACAGAAGTATACATTGTAATTATTATTCATTTTATTAAATAATTCTTGTCATAATTTTGAGTTACAGTCTGCCCTTAAGGCATGCCATGGAGTCTCCTAGATCTTGAAATTGTCCCTAAATAAAGGTTAAATCCATTTCTTTTCTTTTCTTTGCTAACTTAAATACCATAGGAGGAGAGCTGTGCTAGTCTATGGTAGCCAAAAATCATAAGGCATAAAACATATAGCTGTAAATAAAATTGGTTAGCTGGAAAAGGGGCTACCAGACTCCTTCTGATTATTAAGGCAGGATCTCTTTTCTAGTCTTTTTGTTCCCTTGAGAGACAAGTAAACAATATTTAGTGATCTTCAGAAGAATCAAACTATGACTTTCATAATTCCCAGACACTATACTATGGAGCTGCAAAGTCCCATATCTTCTGAAGGGGCAGTTTAGGGCAGATTGCTCTAAAACAGCTTAGACTCAATAAACTCTGCCTACCTGTAGTAGTAGGTTTGTCCATGCATTGTTTCGGTACATCTAAACTGCGCAGTTCCTCTGTGCTTGCATATTTCATGACACTGTTGATAGATGATAGAGTGCTAATAAGTTGAGAATTGAGAGACCCTATTTGTGAGTGAGGCTCTCCAAAAGCATCTGCTAGTTCAGCATAATTTTCAGCAAGGAGCATCTGCTGTTCTTGAACAAGCTTCTGAACCCGTTCAATGTAATGATCCAGGCCAGTTCTTATTTCAGGCAGAGGAAATGGACTATCAATGTCAGCATTTCCTGAACCATCCACAGAATCATCCCCAACACCAATGCTTCTTGTGCTGGGTGGTGCTATAGAAACTGGTGGTGGACCACAAGCAATGTTTCTCATTTTTAATCCAACTAGATAGTTCTCATGAATACTGATGTGCCCTACTCCACAGTCTTTGGTCTTTGTTAAAGAAGATTTATCAAAGCTAGTAGTGGTGGAAAGCAGAGTTCCTATACCAATGGAACGAGTTTTAGCAGCAGTATTTACATCCTTGACCCTACCATCTCCAACAGCCACAGTCTTCAACTCCACAATCACAGTGTTTGTCTGCTTATCATAAGTGCTCAAGAAAGTATTGGTGCTGGAATCTGTCAAAGTAGTCATTTCTGTGTTGATGAATGCATCAGCCTTTTCCAATACTGTATTGGTTTCCTGGTTAATTGTACAAGGCACTGCCATGACTCCAGAATTGGCCTTGCAAGCAGTCTCTGTGTTCGTGCTACAAGATATGGTCTCTTTAGTTGGACAGAATGTCAGATCCAAAGAGTCTCCACACCCGCTTGACCACACTTCCTTGATTTGTAGTTCTGTCTTATGCAGGCTTAGGCTGTCTATCAATTCTTCTGTATTTACCCCAGTTTCACAGAAGCTAATTTCTGTGCCCACACATTTGTTGTGGGTCTCAGTGTAACTCCCAGTACAACGACCACACATTTCATTCCTCTCTTTCACAATCCACCAATTCATAGGAACATCTGGCCCCACAGCTGAACTCTGTAACATAGGCCTACACAATACACCAATGCTACTCATCTGGTGACTGTTCCCTACACATGAATCAACAATATCCACGTGGTTTCCCACCATTTGGTCTCTTGTTTGTATTATTGTGTCTACTGCTTTGCTGAAGACAAGGGGCTGTGCCATTAATGCCTTGTCTGATTTTTTCCTAGACCCAGCTGCCTGAAGCTCATGCTTTAATTTGATCATCTCCCTGTCATAAGTGGCTTCCCTCAACTGAACCTCCAGCCGGTAGATTTTCTCTTTAAGGGATTCAATAGTCTGATGCTGAAGTTCTATCTCTCTCTCAGCCTCAGTAGACAGACCAAGCATCTCTTCTGTCACCCCAGCAATAAAATCTTTAGTCTTCAGATCTGTTCCTACTGCTATATCCCTGCACACCCTCAAAGCTCTGTTATATACCACAATATCATTCATACTTTCCTCTGCACCTACAGCGACTGACCTATTCTCTTTTGCTACACTTGCTTGATTTCCTCGCACATTAGAAGGAATATCATAACTGCTGTCCTGGATTTTCTTCTCCAATGCTTGCACTTCAGCAGTCAACTGCCGGAACTCTTCTACCTGCTCTGAGCTATGCCCCACACTCCCCGTATCTTCTTCACAGTCTATGTAAAGCTCCCCACCTCCTCTGACTGACGAGAGATGCTTCCACTGCTCTGCATTTCCTGCACTGTAAGATCTCTTTCTAAAAGTGCCTGTGTCATTCTGATTGACCATTCTTTGGCTTTTGAGCTTTGCCATCATCTGTCTTTTCTCTTCCTGCAGTACTGAAATCTTAACCTGGAGCACGGGAATGGTTTTGACTTGCTCTTCCAGCTCCTTGAGATGTTTGAGGGCAATAGCCATTTGTTCCCTGATGTGTTGCAGGTGCACTGGGCTCACGTTGGTCACAGGTGTTGATATTCCTGAACTCAAGGGGCTATGCCGAATAGAACTGCCCAAAGAGGATGCTAGGTAAAGATTACAGTCTCCATTGCCTTGATACCCATTCTGAAATTGCTGGCACATCTGATTCTGGCTACTGGATCCTACAAAAGAAGGAAGTGAGCCAGTTGAGCCCATGGCTCCAAAACTGGAAAGCCTAGGCCTCCGAGTTTCTCCATGGATGGGCTGCATTGCAATTTTTTCCTGCTCCAATCTCCTACGTGTTTCCATGAGAGTTTTTGTAACTCGAAGGTTGTGTCTAGGCAGCTGTGGTGAAGGAGGAAGTAATGGTTTGCTTTCAGGGATAGTAAGGAAGCTTGGAGAAGCTTCAAATGCCAAGGATGGCCTTGCAGAAGTTGCCCCTGCTAATTGGTTTTGAGCTGTAAAAAGCAGAGATGAATGTTTGGTTTCATCACTGTTGGATGAAGAAAGAGATTCATTTGATGTCCATTCACTGTACTGATTGGAAGTGATTTTAATAGTAGCAAAAGGTGGGGCCACTTTCCGCTTTTTCTGAATGTTCAATTTTTTAATAGTATTTCCCTTCTGTATATCTTCCACATACTTGAGAAAGTCCAAATCAAGCTGGTAACCATAAGGTGTTTCCACAAAATAGGGATCTTTCTGAATTTTCTCATCATCCCCATTTACATTATTTTCTTCGTTTTCTAAAAGAAGAAACAATTTAAAGTTTAAAATCCTAGCAGAAGTTAAAAATATAGGCATGCTATTCAAACACCAGAACCAGTATATCATACTCCCCAGGAGAATGCATCACATGTCTTGAATCAGTTTTTAGCATAGACTCACATTTCATGTTAAGATTGTATCATCTAATTATAAGCTACAAAGTAAAATGCATACATTTCAGACAGGGTTTGCATACAGCCATTTAAAAATATCACTGTTTATAATTAGTATCTGATAGTTCTGTATTGTTCTATAATGAAAGGTGAGATGACCCTGTGTTCTATGATATACTATAAGTGTAACACACACAAAAATTCTTCCTCAATTTATTAATGCTAAAACTGCCAGCAGAGATGTTTAACACATTGTATTCAGATTTAAAAGCAAAACAATAGAAAGGAACACTGACTCTCTGTTTAGGAACACATTCATTTATGATAGTTCATGCTACTTCTTTCATATTCCTATATTGTGTATACTTGACATATTAGGAACTATGCAAGCACACCATTTCCAAGACAGTCTAAAATATCTCCGCTGAAACAGAAACTGCCAGCTCAAATGTCAGGACAGGACAGCTTCCTGCACTCACAGGAGACACATGTTTCAGCAAAGCATTTTAAATTAAATTACAATTCATCTACAGTGCTTCTTCAAAAAGAATATTTATGTCTATGCTTGCCGTATATGCTGCTCCTCGCCCCCCATTCCCCAGCCTAGACACACAATAAAAGCCTGTAAGTACCGATTGAAGGATTTTCATTTAATTAATACTACCTTTCCATTTCTGTTTTTTAGTCTGTGCATACTTCTGTCCAAAGTCTACTAAGCTTTGGAATATTTCCTGCAATCACAGTTCCATACGTCACAGAAACTCTTTGCTTGCAAAATCCCTGTCTCTCAACTTGCTCATTCTTCATCCCATAAAGGGAAAAAAGTTTCCAGCAAGAGTATAAATAAACAGATTACAAACTTTCATAGGCTAAGCATTCACCAATGAGTTTATATTTTAGCTCAGCGCTGGGGAAGGCCCCCCTCTCCCTCCATATTTCCTTTTTCCATTCCTTTTTGGTACACAGTAGTTTTTTAACGGAACAGCCACTTTAAAAATTCACAGTCCTACTGTTTTTATTAATTTTTATTAAAAAATGGCAGTGATACAGACAACATATTTCAGTTTGTCCTGAAAACAGATGGTGCTCTAAAATTTTAAGCCAACTACTCAAGCATTTCATTTAATAAACATTACCTTACAGTTTCTCTGTATACAACTATCCAAGCCTTTAATAAATGATTCAAACAGTATGTGCCATTCCTAGAGAACCAAATTTAAAAACAATGAAGTTTCATCCTATACTAAGTCCTAAAAGGAAAACCCTCAAATACGCATATAGCTGTTTCAGATGTCATTTCTCCAGCTTGTATGTAGGAAAACATCTATAGGCAAAATTAAATTAAATATAGTTAGTATTATAACCCATGTATTTTATAACAATTTACCTCTTCTGTGACATACAAAATCACCATTTGTCTGCAATGGCATCTTTTGAGGGGGCACTGCTGTAAGGTGTATACTCCTTACTTGATCTACATCAAGGCTATACACAAAAATCATGCCTGGTACCCATAAACATATTCAGGTAGAATAAGAATATAGATGTTACCTTCTTATGCTGGAAAAGAATCAGTATATAGTGGAGCTGGACAACCTGTGCTCTAGGGACTACACATGACTTTGGCCCATTTTTAGCAATCTTGAGCCCTCTCTAATTGTCCAAAAGTAGAAAGCATACAAAAGCCATAAATTAGACTTAGCACAGTAAAAACACAAAGCCTTAAGGTAGTTTTAATATCTTCTCCCAAACACAGAAAATTTTGACTCTGCTCCAGGGTGTGATACAGCCTTTCTTACTTTATCTCATTTTTCTGCCAATTGCTACTCACTCTCTTTTCAAGATCATCAATACAAATGACCGTCATTTTATAAAACAAAATTCACACTAAGTAATTTGTGCTCTCTTGTAGCTGTGGCAGTCCCCTAGCTTTTGAAAAAAAACCTAAGCTGCATCAGACCTCTTGGGAAAATATGCTAGACAGGAAAGTTAAAAAACAATCTGGCATGCCTTTTCTGTACTTTAGCAAAAAAACAAAACAAAAGAAAAGAAACAGCATGGAAGTGTCCACATAATCATCAGGAGTCAAATTTGCCATGAGGGAATCTTTATCTTAATTTGATCATTAAGCTCAAATTCTCAAGCAATAGAAATGTATCCCTCAGCAGTAAGGTATGAATTCACTTCTCTTAAAAGTACGTAAAAATCAAGAAACAATTCAGCAAATTTGATACAAGTCCAATGAATAAAGATACTCAGATTCTTGAAAAATTAGGAATGTGCATTTCCTGTTATGGCAATGATGTTGTCAAAATTGGTACCAGTAATATATTTTGGATTTCTTGTTGTTTTGCTTATCTTAAACATCTCATATTTTGCTTTCTCTCATATTTTAAAGAATTAATATTGGAATGAACTATATTGTTTTTCTTACAAAAGTGCATAGAGTCATTTTTACTGAATCAAGAAATTCAAGTGCTAAAACCTCATTTTATCTGTGTATGTTAACATTATTCTTATGAATCCTCTCTTAATTCATTATAAATTTTATGGCTAGGCTAAATGATTTGCTTTTAAATGATTTTGTTTTATTTGTATGGAAATTTTTTTATAAGTACATCCTGCTTACTCATTTCTCCCTTTCTCAAATAAAAAAGGTTTACTGATGAAACTCAGACTGGTTACAAGCAAGCAAAGTCAAAGCAAAGGAGCTTCTACAGACTTTTGCTGCATGGCTTGACAGAACTCAAGTGGGACATCATTTTTTGCAGGCACTAAATCTCTACAAAATTAGACTTTATAGTTAATATTTGGTTTAATAATCACTGGCAACTTCCTGGAAGTCTCTAAGCATTTTACAAAAAATAGTATTTGTTGAAAATACTTCTCAAACCTAATTAACAAATAACTTATTTGGCATAAGAGTTATTCCTCGTACTTGTGGAATCTTAGTTGAGAGATCATCAATTAAGGTCAGGATTATGGGCTACATTAGGAAGTGGGGGGAAGGTCATCTGGAACAGTAACAACACATACTTACATATTGTTGACATGAAAAATTACATGAATGTGTCCATGAAATCATTAGGAATAGAACTCAGCTTGAAAGAAACTTTACCTGACTTACCTATTCAGAAGCAATACATTTGGAGTTATTCATAGGTAATTGGGTACATGATTTTGCCTTCCAGGGTTCCAGATTGCATTGTCTAGACCTCTGGATGGTAAATTTATGAATTTGGTTCTCTCCCAAGTCAATTATTTTTTTACCTAGAAGATGGATTGGTCAAGTATATATTTGTGGGAATTGTAGTGGAACAAGAAATATGTGATCCAGAAGGGCATTTTCTAATACTGTAGTGATTACAGTAAATGTTTTAATAATCATATTGCATTTATTAATTGTTATGCCCCTGATAAGGGCCTTCTAGATGCTTTCCATAGATGTACTGAATTTTCTTTTTTATATGCGGGTCAACTATTTATGGCTGGAGATTCTAACCAAGTTTTACATCCTTTGCTAGGCAATAATACTGTTCAGCTAAATTCAATTCTGTACACGGAAAGTGCTACAAATGTATATGTTGAAGTTTAATTTGGTAAATATATAGCAATTTTGAAATATTTACAGCAAAAATATGGTTTTTGGTTTTCTTATTCACATAAGACCTATTCCCAATTTGATTATTTTTTAGTATCTCGATACTTAGAACAGATAGACAATGCAGTATAGGTCCTACTATAGTATTTGATCATGCTCCAGGAATACCATCTATTATATAAAAAAACCTCATCCTTTTTTTTCAAAATATTTAAATACATCATTATTAAAGGATGTACTTCTTTTAAAACTGTTAAAACAATCTTTTGATTTTTTTTAAATAAACAGACATTCTGCAAACTTAATAGAAGTTTGGGATGCTTTTAACCCTTATATTCATGGTGGCTGTTTTACTGCACATGTTTCATGGGGGAAAAAAAGAATTATAACTCTTAAGCCAGAAACATTGGAAAATTAAAGTTAAGGAACTTTTGAGTACAAAGGCAATATTGCCTGCACCAAAACAATATAAATTTTTTTATATATGCTATGTAAACCTAATTCCCTCTATACATTTTATACTGAATATTAATTGAATCAAGCATGAAAAACTATAAAATATTACAGTCCTCTTGACTGAAAAAGGAACAATGAATTAATATTAATTCTAATCAGGCATGCTCAGGATAAAGTATACAAAGACTCTGGTCTAATAAATCAGCATTTTTAAAATAAATATATACTTGACTTTGTAATACTGAGATAAAAGGCTACTGAGGAAAAGGAAATAAAAAGGAAAGGAATTCCAGCGCATGAAGAGTGCAAAAGAAAAGGCCAGCCATGGTCCATATTCTCCTGACCTCATGGGGCGTGTTCTTACCACATCGGCAGATTCAGTCTAGGCAAGTTGGGGCCTGATATAACCTGGTGATAGGTTACATCGTAGGGTTGTAGCTGAAGACCAGTAGTTTTAAGTGGATCTGTAAGCCTACTGGTAAACTAGTGCATTAATACCAATATAAATAGATAGTTAAAAATCCTAGTGAGTTGAAAGATAAATGCTGGAAAAAATGAAGATTATTTCATTACTGATATATGTACTAACAGGAATTATTTCCTAAGACTGTTAAGGTATTTCAAACAGATTGATAAATTATTAAGCAAGGTTTTATGGGAAGTACAAATCCAAATTACAGTTTTCCTGATTTGCCACTTTATTACGGGGCATACTTTTAGCATCTATTTCTCTGTGGAACCCAAAGTTCCTATTGAGTTCCACAACGAACAGTGGACTTGAACCTGAATCTCCCCAGTGCCAGGCCAA